GAAATTTTATCAAACACTTTATTATATCCACCAGTTTTTCAGTTTCCCTCATAAACTATCAACGATAAATTAAAAATTCATTAATTCATTTATAAGCTATAAACTAACTCGATATTTATGAATATAAAATTCCTTAATTTTTTATTTTGTCATTGGGTATGCTGATCTTAATTTTAATGTTATTTTTTTTTTTTTCTAAAGTCTAATTGGGACATTAGGAATCCCAAACAACGTTTGCCGCAAGCTGCGGGTCTTGAAATTGATAAAGCCATTGGCATCCATGAAAATAACTTCATATTATTTATCCATTACCCAATTGTAATAATCACGCAATCATAATGTCTCAAGATCTACACGAGATGATCCATAGCTTTTAATCACTTTATCATTTCACAAACTTCTTTAGACACATATTAAGCAATAAGCATAATCAATTTCGACCGTTGTTAACTTCAACATTTCAAAATTATTTTCAATTCATATTTTATTCTGCTGGATGTAGCGCATATATAATTGTAATATCACCATATACACATGTCATTCATCTAATGAAGTAAAAACGTGTGTCTAGAAAGTTGAAACATGATTTTTGAATAGAAAATCTAATCCCACATGTTTTTTTCCTTACTATTAAATTGATACACACCAACTTCAACTGAGTTTTTAACTATTGAATTAACAATAGCTCATTTGGATGAGTTTTTTTAATCATTAGATCAACATACACCACATTGTTACAGTGTGATTCAACGATAAAAGCATACACATTTGTAGAGTTGGATAAAAATGAAGATGTCATGGGATTTGCCTCTAAATCCTATGGTGTTTTTATTATTATTATTGTTATTATTATTATTATTATTATTTTATTTTTTATTTTTTTGGTCAAAAAATACGGATTTTTGTATTCTATAGGTTGCTAAAAACATCAGGTCACAAGGTGAAATGCATGCCTCAGTAACACAAAAAACATGAAAATAAAGGAAAAGTGTCACTTGACAACAATTTTATACATTAGAAATTACAAAAAATGATCAAACAAAACAAAGGGTCACTCTCTAACACATATTATGTTACTCTTCCATAGAGCAGAACCATTTTTTTTTTTTATTTTTTTTTCTTTGCTTGCTAAAACAACTATTGTAATAATAATTATTGAAATCCGAAATTCGCGAGCAATTTCTGAAGAGTTCGTCGTCCCCATTCCATGTCGCCATCCAAGATTTGATCTGAGCCGTTGATTTCCTTCTTCTGATCATCAATGTTCACTATCGTCTCGATGCTTTCTTGTAGCATCGATGCAGATACATTCTCATCAGCTAACTGTGTAATGATAATAGTACGAAATTCATCAAAAAATGAGAACTAAAACATTAAAAGTTGCAATCTTGAGAAAATTCTGTAAATTATGCAACCAAACTGTCATATTCACCTCAGCTTCAGTTGAATCCTCAACTTCATCAACTCTTTCCTCAACAGTTTCATCATTCTCATCAACCTCATTTACCACTTTTTCTTCAATCTCCTCCATTGCACTCGAAATTAAGCCCGGCACCAAAACCGGAACCCCTTCATCCGAAACTATTGTCTTCTCTTCACCTTTCAAGCTAAAAAAGTCGGCACTGTAAATCGCCACATCGTTATCTCCCGAATTCCTTTCTCCATTCTCATCATTTGCACTAATAATACCTCGGCCCTCAAATCCCTCCGTAATATTTTCCGCAACCATTGACAGATAATGTGGGCCCACATGATCCTCCTCACTATCGTTATCATCACCTCCGAGTTCATCAATCGAGTCATTTTCTTCAGCCAAAAATACCGGCAGCTGATTTGAATTATCACCATTTTTTATCGGCGAATTCGAGTTGAGCAAAGACTCGTTTTTTATTTCTGCTGAAATTTCCTCCTCGACTGTGTTTTGGAGTTCGGGATTTTCCCAATCCTCATAAACGGTTATTACTTTGTCAGTGTACCATGTTTCAACAAACCTATCTGGGCCGGGCTGCCATGTTACATTTTCATCTTCTCCCTTAAGTAAGAACTTATACTTGATTACCTTACCACTTGGCATATCCTGTGTGAAGTATAATAATACGGTCGAAATTAAGTAAAAACGAGTCTCTTCTGTAAAATTCAAACGAAAAGCTGAACCAAAAATCTATAATCAAGATTCAGCACACTAAAGGTTATATATACTACACTGCAAAATTACTCTTTCCAAGTATTTTGTGTAATACAATATGAATCAACAAAGAACTAAACGGTATTATTATTCGACTGGATAATTCTAAAAGATTCTTACGATTTCTGCAGTCCAAACATGTCCTTCGGACCAAATTAACGGCATCCCATTTGAGGGATCCCATAATCCAACCATTGGATCATCACCTACTAATAAAAATTGCTGCCCAAATGCACATTCTTTGTGTAATTTGAACCTGACACGAACAATTTTCGGTTTATCCTCTGAAAACAAAAGTTAAATCATACTTGCATGAGTCATAGCTATATAGATAAGACATTGAAACCCACCAAAACTCAAAAAAAAGAAAAAAAAAGAAAAAGAAAAAAAACAAAGAAAACTACCTGAGTCCATTGCTTGTGTTTCTTCAGTTTCATCATTGGCCTGCAAACGTTGTAACAAAATTGAGCAAGAATACATTTATTAGATCATAGCTTAAGCACAAAAGGGCTTTTACATTACAATAATACAGCAGCAACCTGAAATGGGTTCCTAAAAGCTGAAAATTCAAGTCAATAATTGTAAAATTCAACAGTGTCAATTAGAAAATAAATGAACTGAAACTTCACTAAACCTCTTCTTTCCTGTAAACCCCATACCAGAAATTAACACACTTGAACAAAAACAACATTTAATAGAACATTTAATTCCCAAAATTTGCATCACCTGAGCAGAAGAAGATGCAGAGATCGAACAAACGGGCTTTTGCTCAAACGTCACCGTAAGGAAAAACCCATCTCTAACACGCTTTTGATGTAAAGAAAAACCCTCTCCTTGTCTGCTCAGAGCTATTTCCCTTGAGCAGAAAAGACCCTTTTCCTCTCTGTTTTTGTGTGTTAGAAACTTTATGTTTGAGCACCATAACGCTTTCATATTGAACCTTTTTTTTTTTTTGTCAGATTTTCCTTTTCTCCTAACTTTTCTTTGTATGATGATTCAAGAATGATTAGGTGTTTTGAACTGTGTGTGTGTGAGTGTGATGCAATTTTTTGGCTTTCTTGATTTTTTGAGGATAGAACAAATTTCATTTTTTAATATTTTATTGAATTTGCAAAAAAGTACTGTGAATAAAGTTTTATACTGGTGGCTAGAATTGAGTGCAAGTGATGAAAAGGACAATTTATATGGAAATTTTTTGTTGAGGTCGCATCCACAATGCTTTGGGTCTATTTTTGTATATGTGTCATATAATTAGACTTGAGTTTTAAATGACATGGACAAACCCAAGTAAAAAAACTCAAAAACTTTACAATGCAAAAATAAAAAGACTAGGTCTATCATACATGTCAACCAATAGAAATGCTCTAATATGTTTTATTCATTAAAAAAAAAATAGACTCAAGTGTGGACTTGGTCTCTTTTTTTCATTGCCACATAAGTTAGACCATGTCTACTTTTAATTGCATTGGAAAGTATTTTTTTTATAGACTAAAGTCTATTTCCCATATGACATGTGATTTTTTGTTAAAAGACCCAAAACATTGTTGATGCTGTAAGTGGGCTCCAGAGGCAGGACACGTGGAAGCTTGTGGTTGCTGCTCATATCCCAACCAGAAATTGAATCTGAATTGGATTTTAGAGAAAATGGAAAATAATAGTAATGATAATTGTGAAAAGAATTTTTTATTATTATTATTTTTTTTTTTTTTGAACAAAGTGAAAAGAAAATTAGCAAAACAAAATGGACATTTTTTCCAATATGGGCTGGTAAATGGGCCGAGTTCAGCCCGGTATTATTTTTACAGATGCTGTGGCATGTGATTGTTGACAAGGAAACCCAACTCGCCATAAATTTTTTTGACTCGAGGCTGCATATTATTGTAGCTATTATTGGAATCGAGTAGACATGGTCATGGGTCGACCCAGCCTGTCGGTTCGGGACGAACCAACACAAACCGGCCCGTTGACCATGGGTCTTGAACCGGCCCGTGGTATTGACCAATTCGGTTCATATATAATACTTTATAGTTTATACATTTTGAATCGACAGTTTTGGTTCCGAACTGGACCGAAACCCGAGATTCAACTTTTTTTAAAAAAAATATATATCACTTTTTAATTATTTCTTAATGAACCGGACGACCAAGAACCGACAGTTCAATGAACCGGCCCGTGCATATGTTCGCGCCGGTTCAGGGTCCTTCAACTCTCGGTCCAGGATCGGCGATTTCGACCTGTAACTGGTTTTGGCGATCATGACTAGAAAACATATGTTAGTTTGAATTGGGAAAACTCACTCGCTTATATATTTAAACAAGCCAAACCCAAATAGCTAATCGAACTTGTCGATCAAAAAAATAGAATCGAACATGTTTGCACTAAACTCTGTAAGAGTTTTTTTCTTTGTCTATGAAATAAGGCCGAATAATTATTGGAGGTGAAATCAACAAAAAATAAATAGTAATAAATGAAAATGGATAACGGAGTGTGCAATGAGACGGACTCAATTAAATAGCCCGCAGGAGAAGTATGTGTCAAGCTTAATTATCCATCTTATTTTGGTACTTGTCAAGTCAACCCATTAAAAAATTAAAAGGTAAGAGTGTGTTGGACTACATTATAAACCCAATTGATAAAAATCTAATAAGAACACAATTGTCATTGACAATAAATTATTATCTTCTTTCCTCTCATTGTGATCATCTCTTATCTTCCATTGTTGTCATATAAAAAATTTCGTCCTCAAAAAATTTCGACCTGATCCTTGGAACATCCAACTCGAAATTAAATGGGGCTACATAAAAAATTACATAGTGCTAAAGAGGCTTATGTATAATTTTTTTTTAAAAATAAGGTTAGCAATTTTTTTTTTGGGACATGGGGCTGGAGCCCACCCTAACCCTATGGTGGTTCCGCCCCTGCCAACTATAATGAATCCCACATATTCTTCAACCCCTTTTCATTTATTTACAGCTATAAAGGCTTGAAAATTTATTAGATACATATTTAGGTTATATCTAAAGCAAAATGATACATGAGATATTTATAGATATAGAAAAACACTCCTATAAAGTTTAGATTCCAGAAAACAACTTTCCTGATAAATCTGGTTGAAAACAGATACAACATATCGAGTCGACAATTGTTGACAGCAAACAGTGTCTCGACCGTGACGCAACAGGTGTCCATGCTTAATAGACGAGCAAATCTCGCATCGCGATACTGGTCAGACGCGCGTGCTCGATTACCAACACTTGTAGCTCTAAGCAGCCAAACAGTGAGTCCCGGCCTATATTTCTAGCATGTTGGCTACTTGCTAAGTGCTTGATCAATGCTAGATTGCCCGATGGATGTTCTAGCCCAACAGGGCCGGCCCTGACATTTTTGGGGCCCATGGAGAAAATTGGGTAAGGGACCCTTTCTTCAACACATACATTTAATTAAAGTGAAATAATAATAGACAAATACATAAAAAAAGAGCCTCAAAATCAAACAATGAAAATAAAACACCAAAATTATAAAATATAATCAAGAAATATAACCTGATTTATGCCTTGGATAATGATCTTCAAACCCAAAAAACCCTAATAATTGTAGTAGGTCTCTCGGTTAGGTGTTTCACTTTCGCGAATAAATAGAAGAATCAATTGAAGACTGAAAAGAAAGGCTTAATCGTCGAAATCGTTGCTTCAAATTGTTTATCCGATACACTCAAAAAATTTTCCGCCCGTTAGAAAGTACAACTTGGAAATAGACGTAAGGAAAAAAGAAAAACAAAGCACGGTGCTATAAAGATGGGGAGGAGTATAGTGCACAATGGTGTTTACGAGACGAAAATTATATTACTCTTCCTTCCCAAGTATCCTTGTCGTCATCTTAGCCTACCACCTTTATACTTTTTTTTTTCTTTCCCTACCATCTTTATCTGAGCGTGGGAAGTTGTTTGGAAATGTCGGATGAGGAATATTGATGGAAACATTATTTTGATATTCTCTCCACTTGTCTTTCCCGTTACTTCCAATTCCAAAAGAAAAAGTAACTTTGATTTTTTTTTTTATTGCTTATGATTATTTCCTTATATGTGTTTGGGCTTGGGCCAATAAAAACTAATTATTTTGTGGACTTTTTAATTAGTAGAAAAATTCCCTAACAAAAATTCATACACATATATATAATGTAGATATAAATTTGGGGCCCCAAATATTTGGGGGTCCATGGCCAATGCCACTTTGACATTAGTCAGGGCCGGCCCTGTAGCCCAACTGCTCACGAATTCGGTTATGTTGAGCTATTTAAACTTAATAAAAATTTTAACCTTAAAATCAGTACATCATTAATTTTACATTAATTTTTCTTACAAAGATAGTATAATTAAATAGATTGTTATAAAATTGAATACAAAGCATAATCTAAATAAGGTTGTGTGAAATCTTCATCCTACTAAAACAAGATGTAGGTTCATGCATGTGAGAATTCATCCCATTATGGCAAAATTATTTCTTTATCCATTAATGGAAGAACCTACTTATATTAAGTTATTATGACACATAATATTCCACAATGAATTGAAGAGAGGGATAAGGAGGCACGTGCGGAAAGAGAGGACAAACGTGCAAGCCATGTGTGGGCGGCCCATGGCTCACATAAGAGAATCTTGGTAAAAAATTTCTAATTCAAGAAACGAATGCATTTGTATTGGTATCAAATCCCCATTTGGATTTAAATATTTACTCAACTTAGAGCTATTAAACGAAACAATTCTCTCGTGAATTTGATTCGTCTTGACTTGATAAGACTCGTTGGGTCAGTTCGTTTGACAAATTAATCGAAGTCGAGCTCGTTTTATTAACGAGACTGCGATAAAGCTCAAAAAGAGATTTTATATATAATTTTCTATAGTTCGGCTCGTTAAAACTCGAGATCTGCTCATTAAAACTCGAACTCGACTCATTAATATTGAAGAACGAGCTGAGTTCGAGCTCGGCTAGGTTATAGCCGTACTCAACCCACACCATCTTACACTTTTCTTTGAAACATGCAAATTCGAAATGAACTTCACATAGCAACAATACTTAAGAAAAAAAATTGCAATTAAATTACCCACAATGACCATATTAAAACGTACCCACCGGCCACATGCCATATTGCATAATCATTTAATCATATACCTACCGAATATAGCATGTTATTTATTTATTTATTTCCACGTTAACTTGTAAACATATTAATTCGTGCTCAAGCATCTAACACTATCATTTTCCATGTAAAAGGTAACTAATAGTGCAAGCTTTGCATAACCAAGACTATACTTTTACAATCAATCACCCCAAATTCTCAATATACTAGTTCACCTCACATCTAAAGTAAAAATAAAGACAACTCTTGTGTAAAAGGAAAAATAAATATGAAAAAGAACACATCACATGTAAAAAGAAACATTTCAAATCTCCCCATCTATTATACAAGATATGGAGGAGAAAAAGAAAAAAAGAAGCTATGTAGATTAGTAAAATACCAATGGCAAATGGAGGGAATATGAGCCGTTGGATTAATGGTGGGATGGCAACGGTGGCGATGAATGAGCCGGGGATGGAGGCTTGCATTGATAACACTTGGCGAAAAGCCCAAACGTGTCGATTTGTTTGATAAAATTGGTCACGCTGGCCCAACCTCCGAACCCAAAGCCCACCACCAATACCCATATTACAATGAATGTGTTCACAGCGTACATGGCTGTCCAGCTAGGCATAAAGGGTGGAGGCTTCTCAGCAGCATTCTGCAATTTACAAAATAATTATGAAATTGTTAAATTAAATATGAGAGGAATAAATTTTCCACATGATTTCAAACTTTAGTAACCAATTTTTTATTTTATTTTTTTTTTCGAAATGATAGAATTATATTAATAAACAAAACTTCACAGACTAGACAAAATAAAAACTTTTAGCACATGTATTTAATGCAAAAATTGGGCAAGTTACAACTATTTCTTGTTCCCAGCTCGCACAACAGTTTTTTAACAATATTGGGTGTGATAACATATTTATGTGAGCATATAATCTTAAATAAATAATGAATTACATAAATTTTAAAAAAAAAAAAATAATGGCAAACCATAGAACCGTTGGTTCAAGCTTTATCCATCGGGTTAGTTAAATATTTAGGCCATGATGTTAGAATATACCAAGAATTAAAGCTAGGTACATAAATTAATTCAGTCACTGACCTAACTGGAATCAAATAATTCATGTTCATGTTAGGTATAAAAAAAAGGGTCCAAGTTTTTTTTTATTTTTGACGACACATGAGGCAACTACGAGCCAGCTCATATTGGACATAATCCAATTGAAAACGACTTTCTACCTATACATATTTTAATTTGGTCAAACAAAAATTTCCTAGCCCATGCATTTAATACCAATGTCTTGAGTTTTACCATCATTTTACCCCAAAAAATTTACTTTTCTTATTCACAATTTACAGTCAAATCGTTGGACAAATCGATTCATCATATTTTTATCTCAACAAAACTGCATACTTGTGCTAAAAAATACCATACTTATTCATTATTTTTTAGAGTATTGCATTTCAATTTACCTGGCGTGCAGTGGCTTTTCTATATGTGAGCATGTGGGCTAGGGCCGGGATAATGTAGACGGTGAAGCTCACCAATAGGGCCCCAACCGCCGAGTTAATCGGGCCGAAGAAGGGGAAGATGATGGCAAGGAACCATATCGGGATTACCACAGGGAGACGAGCAAGTGCTCTCAGGCATATGCTCTTCGTGTCGTGCATCCCGATCATTTTCTCCCACACGAAGTAGAGTGGCGTGCATGCGAAACCGAACGTAATAAACTGCAATTGTGATAAATGTATGAATTAATTATACATATAAATTGTTTTTAATTTTACAAAATTTAGTAAGAAATCATGGTACTAGAGGTGCTTTATTTTTTATTATTATTATTATTATTATTGTTATTATTATTATTATTATTATTATTATTATTATTATTATTATTGTTGTTGTACCAATTTTATCACGCAACAAAATAATACTCTTAGATAAAAAAGAAGCAAAAAAAATAAATAAATCAATACAATACTGTTCATTTTATTTTATAATTTTCTTTTGTAACACAATTAAAGATAAAAACTAATCATAACTATATATTTTCCAACAAATTAACCGAGTCAAATATTTCTAGCAATAACAAATCAATTGTAATCATTATAATTTTATTTCATAAACAATTCAAAATTTCGAATATATAAAAACAATATTTTTTTTTTTTCAATTTTCCATCTTTATTTTCAATTCAAACAAACTTTATCGAAAAATTCTTATATCCAATCGCAACTTAACGATAAGAAAACTTATATTGGTGAAATAATCTTTTTAATAATAGAAATTACCTGATGAATAAGCATTAAAATAACCGCGGCATCTCTCCACCCGGACTTCGGGAGGAGGGAGAAAGCATTTGAGTGGTTGAGAAGCTCATCGCCAAAAGCCCAATACACGGCAGAGGCCGACGGTAAAGTTAGGGTGAAAACATAAAGTGTGGCCACCAAGTAAATGTACTTGAACTTTTGTGGCTTCCACATAGCATGCATGATCTCACTGCATAAAATTGTTAAACGAAATCAGCTGCTCGTAAACTTAATTCATTTTGTTAAAGTCCGTTTAATAATCAAGTCGAGTTTGAGTTCGTTTAATTAACATAATTTATTGAACTTCTAATACATGAATCTTAGCTCGCTTAACGAGCTGAATTCGAGCCATTTATTGGATTGATAAATGAGTACTAGGAGTTCGAGCCTGATTTAACTCGTTTTGCATGTCTACTTGTATTATTAAGGTAACTAATTTATAGAGTAAATATATAATTCAAACTTATAATCAGGTGGCCGTAACTATTAATGGAGCATTCGATACTATCGATTGTTGAGTACAATTATCAGAGTTATTTATCATTTGATTAACACATACTCACACATAAATTACACGATGAGGTGGGATTTTCCCTATTAGATAATGGAAATTAGTAAATGTAAGCAAAAAATAAAAGTAGTTTGTATGATTATGTCAGCATTCGCAGCCCGTGTGGTGGCCGGCAAAAGCTGCAAATAGAAATAAGAAGCCCAGTAGAAGAAGATAAACTATGATTTCACATATTTTATTAAAAAAATATTCATAAATTACAAAAAGAAAGCACTTAAATTAAAAAATAAATTAACTTACACAGTGACAGCATGTCCACCAAATGTGTACAGTATGTTAGTGGCGCCTGTGAAGTAAAGGACTACCTTCTTTGGACCCGAATGTTGAACATCCTCAACCTATTTATTATTATTTTTAAATAAAAGAAAAATTAATTCAATAAATAAAACAAAATAAAATAAAATAAAATGTTTAATTTTCTTTTTCAGGTAATTAATATTTGACCTGGCCATGAGTAAGTGCTGCTATAGTCAAGTACCAAGCAGTATAAGTGGTCATTCCAAGTCCTAAAAAGGACCAAATTCTGTAATTGTGAAATGAAGGAATGAAAACAGTTGTGGCACAGCAAGCTCCAAATATATATGTCCATGTCCTCTTGTCCAGGTGGTCATTTATATAGTAAATGTTGCTGCCCAAAAATAAATAAACAAATAAATAAATTACATTATTTCAAGAAAACACCCCAACAAATAAATAATTTCACATATATACCTTGCACAAGCAATGAGTTGTATAACAGACCCAAATAGAAGAAAAGTGCAGTTAAATGCTAAACCCGCTGCTTTCCAGTATGGACCTAGCAATCCATCTAGCACCTCAAACCACTGCATTATATACATAAGAATATTTATTTAATGAATAATTAAATAAACAAGCAAAAAAATCTATTTATTCACAAATTAAACATTAATTAGTGTTAATTAATTAAGTTGGATAGTAATTAAAGTGACCTGAATGACATGGTTTTTGAAGCTATGGCCTTCTTTTTCTTTTCTGTTACGATATTCTATGTACAGAACGCTGATGAGATATGCTGTCCAGCTGCCGACCAAACCATAGAAAACTTGGAATATAATCCCAGAAAAAATCCCAAGTTGTGAGAATGAGTATGGAAGAGTTAGAAGCACTTGGGCCACCTGCAAATTTTTAGAGAAAACAATAAAAAAAAAAAAAATCAAAAGCAGCTTTAATTGTGAAACAGTGAAAAAAGATCCAATTTTTTCTTTTGGGGGTTTCTTGAAATGGAATTTAATGGCAGAAATTGTACTTGATTGGAAGCGCAGCTGAACCAGGCGTCCCAGGCGGAGCCGCCGTGCCAGAGCATGTTTTTGACGCCGAAAAGGGGCGGCTCGTCGGATTTTCCGGCGGCATCCTTGCCGGCGACGCCGCCGTTTTCGGCGGAGACAATGGCTTCCTCTGCTTGCTTCTGGGCCAACATTGTCCTTTTTCTTTTATACACTAAAATGGGATGTTTTTTTCTTTAAGCCGGTCTGGTGAATGAAAGAGAGAGACAGAGAGAGAGAAACAGAGAAGCTCAAAGATCAAATCTTTGTCCTCCGTAAAAATCAAATCTTTTTCTCCATATCCAAAGAGGAAAAACCAAAGAAAAAAGGGGGAAAAAAAATCCAAAGTTGTACAATTTCAGTAATACCTTGTTTGCTTCTATGAGTCCTTTTATTGAACCCAAATGTCTCTCTCTAATAGCAAAACCAAAGATCAAGAAAACAAAAACAGAAGAAGAAAAAAAAGGAAAAAGATTTATTTTTTTTAAGTAATAGAATAAAGATTCCTATGTAGCAAGTGAAAAAGGGACAAGGGTAGTTGTTAGAAATTCTTGGTTTAGAACAAAAATTGTCATAAAACAGAGAAAATGGCCTATAATTAATACTATCAGCCTCAGAAAATTATTGAAGTCTCTGTCTACTGTCTAGGTTATTATATAGAATACTCTCTTAATAATGCGTTTTTTTTTTCTTGCAGAACCTCCAAAAGCAGCAAATTGAAAATGAAATTTCTTCACACACACAGAGAGAGATTGTGCAAAGGAGTTTTTTAGTGTGACACATTGTACTTGTATTTAATTGTTTTTAAAATTTAATTTTGTGGACTTTCTTTCAATATTATATGGTTTTGTAATTTTTCCATTTCTCCACTAATGATTCCCTTCTGGGTCCAAAATGTGGATCAGCCAAACAATAAGCACTGTTGGAGACAAGGTAAAAAGTAAAAACATGGCTCATCATACAACACATGACAAAAAAGAAAGATGGGACATTTTGCAAGTCAACAACGGTCAAAGGCTTTCATTGTGTCGTTTGTTCTGTCGAGGTCAACTCATATTTACCTGCCACGTGTGTGATTAAAATTTTCGACAAGTAATTATCAAGTTTTACTTGAGTTTGTCCTAAGTTTAGGGGTTCAATTCTCCCAAAATAGGCTTAGTTTTAGTTTATGACNGAACAACACACGAAAAAGTATGACATTTTACCCGTGTAAGTGTGCATTTGTTTTAAAAAGTATGACGAGTCGATTTGTGTAATCGTTAAATAGTCTCACACAACAATATTATTGTGAAAAAAATTCCGACAATATATGAAAAAATAATCTTTTTTAGATTTAAATGGAATTAGTGGGGGAAATAATTATTAATTCTGTGAATTTAGGGCATAAGTGTGGATCAAATTTGGGAATTGTGTTTCCCAATGGCCCCTCATCAATAACCACTTGCAATTCACTTGTGTCACTCACAGTCCCTTCATTAATTTGATCAAAACCAACATATTGCATGCTATTGTGGGATGTGTTTCCTTACTAATCAATTATCACTTTCAAATTTTGTCGGGCATTAGATTAATTAATCACCTTGGATGCAATTAGTATGTTCTTTAAATAAGGTTTTCATTCTATCTTCATACTTGTAAATAATTATTCGTAAACATTCTCTAATTTTTGCCTTTTGGAATGAACGGTCAGGTAATCTTACATTATCATTTGTGTTACTAAGGGTCAGTTTGGTTACTTTTATTGATTGCGCTTGATTAAATCTCATAAAAAAATTAATGTGTTATGTTTTGGATAGAAGAGTTCTACTAACTTGTTTGGTTGATAGTGGTAATTATCACATTTAAGTTAAGATTACACTTTTGCCCTTCATTTATAATTAAATTTTCAAATGTTGCCCCAATTCAAAAGTCACTTTTCTTCATGAATCTAGACAGTTACCACATAATAAAAAAATTTAAACATCGCATTTACCATATATGGCTATGTTTGGTAAAACTAGCTAATAAGCTAGCTGATAGTTGATAAGCTAGCTTATAGCTTATAGTAATTTTTGAGCTTATAGCTTATAGCTTATGACTTATAGCTGAAAAGCTAGCTTATATGATAAAAGTGTTTGGTAAAATTAGCTGATAAGCTAGCTGAAATAAAAATTTCAACTAGCTTATTTGAAAAGCTACCCAAAGAAGCTTATCAAATAAGCTCGAGCTTTTTTAAAAAGCTCGTCCTACCAAACGGAGCTTATTTGAAAACAGGGAGCTTATAAGCTAACCAAATAAGCTATAAGCTAGCTTATTGGTCTACCAAACATAGCCATAATAATTAACACAACATACCTATGATTAATCTAGACAGTTAGTTGTCATTTCATAGATCCAAAACAAAACAAATTGCATTTCATCGCATTTACCCCTCAACTTCCAAATTGCACTCAGATTTTTTCTTAAAAAAAACTTGGAGCAATTGAGTTATTGTATTGAGAAATTGAAAAAAAAAATGGGAACCCCTCAACTTCCAAATTGCACTCAGATTT